TTACCTATTTTAGGGAGGGGAAGGGTGTCACTGGATGCATGGTCACAAGGGTAGGAGTGAGTAATCTATCTTGGGGTGGGGAAGGGAGTCACAGGATGCATGATCACAAGGGTAGGGGTCATCTACTACAAACAGGCATGATCATAAGGGTGGGGGAGGTTGCAAGCAGAGGGAGGGCATAGTAAATTACATAGTTAAAGGCTAATTTGAGTTTGTTTAAGGGTTAAATGAGAAACCCAACGTCCAGGGGGAGAATTCTGCAAGGCTGAGCAGGAACAATGGTTGCAGGTTGCAGGGGGAGAGCAATTAGTTGAGGCAGGAACAGGTGGTTTCACTTCTTTCTGTGGCCACCTGGTTACTTGTGGTTGTTTCAGACTTCCTGGCTCCTGGGGACCATCCAGAGGTGTATGCGTGGGTCACCAAGGCTGTAATGGCCAGGCTTGGACTTGGAGGCCTGACAGAGAGGTGCTCGGGTTCATAGTGGTGGAATCCAGTCCTGCCCTGCTGAACCCTTTGGTCCAGAGCAGCAGTTAAGCGCTGTGGAGTGCCTCTCCGTGCACCCGACACATCTGATGAGGGCCTGTGCTCTGCAAATGGTGGTGAATTGAAGTCTGTCTGTGGCATTTGGGGGCTGAGACTTGAAGAGTCTCAGACAGCTCATAATCCCTGAGCCATTCTTTGTGTGACATGGCCATCCTTGCCAGCTGACCACCTGCCCAAGGTATGCTTGGCTTAACCTTAGAGCAAAACAAATTTGCATTTCCTAGCCACACACTGATCAGAGGGACAGCAGCCAAGGAACACGCAGAGCTGTAGGGCAAGGAGAATTTGTCTTAATTATAACACATGGTGGAAAATCCATTCATGCACCACAAGACTCTGGCTGGTGAAATGTTGGTGGATGTGAACACTGGCTGCCTTAAACCTGACTGTGATATTCTACTTCCTTTCAAAAGCCCCTTAGCTTACCTGTTATGGAAGCATGTTTTCCAAACATTTCATGTTCTACCAGGGGGCTCAGAGGTATGCCACACGTCAAATGTGGAGGCCACTCAGACCCGAGAAGATGATGCTATGGATTCAGTAGCTCCAGATTCCTTCTCTGGAGAGGAAAGGGCCAGGAGTGACTGGGAAAGACAGGGAGAAGGCCCCGTCTAACCAAAGAAGACCCCCTCTAACCCGAGGCCATATCTCCAGCATCCGGCTCAGCTTAGCTTTGGCCCTCCACCATTTTAGGGGCTCTGTTTTGTTCCAAGTGTGAGGCAGGACAGGTGCTTGGGCTTTGGAATTACACAGAGCTAGGTTTGAATCTTGCCTTTGTCACTTCATAATCACGTGTCATTGGGCACCTTATGTGATGTTTGAGAGCCCTAGGTACCTCATCGGTGAAATGGGGTCCATACTAATTCGAGTTTGTTTAAGAGTTAAATGAGGTGCTTTAAGTGCCCAGCACAGGGCTGGTGCATGATATCTGCTTGGTGAATATCAAGTCCTCCCAAGCACCAGCCCCTTGTTGAAGACCGTGTCCAAGGCTTCATCTGTCTATCACAGTTCACATCTCTGATTTCTTGCTAGCCTGTTCTGGTGCCCTGGTAAGGAGTCCCTGATTTCATTCCCACCCATCTTCTTGCCAAGCACCTAACTTGTCAGTTCTCGTTTCTTGGTCTTCACTTTTGTGACCAAACAATTGCTCCATCTTGGCCCACTTCGTCATTTGTGTGCCAGGCTGATTTCTGAGCACTGATTTCCAACCCTGCTTGGCCTTGGCCATCCCAGGCTCACCCAGAGAAGCTGTCTCTCCCCTGGAGCTTCTCTTTCAGTATTCCACGTTGAGGCTCCTCTGGAGAACAGCGTCACCACACCTGGTGAGGGTCCCTTCCACCCGCCCCCAGCAGGTTCTGCCTGACATCAGGAAGCCCACAGAGCCCAGTAGAAGACATATTTAACAAGCGCTAGGCAGACCTCAATGAATGTCAGTCCAAGCAAACTGGAGTCTACCCATTTGTGATGTCCCCAGGTCACAACCCTACAGTCCCCAGTTCCAGTAGAGAATTGTGCTGCAGTGCTGTTGGGAGCCCTAACTCTCCACCATCCCAACCCTCTATCTGTGGCCCCTGGGAACCTGGGATCCAGGCCTCATCCGAGCAGTGACCTTAACCAGTGGCTGCTGTGATGTGCTGTAAGGCAGCTCTGTACTTGGGAACAATGTGTTAGCTGCTGCTTAGTGCCATTTACATCTTTTTGGCCTTGTGCATCCAAAAAATTTGTTAGATGAGGCAGCTAGGTAAACATATGTCAAAACAACCTCAGAAGCTGGCACTATTATTTTTGGTATTAAAAAATATCTACATTTTCTCTGTACCTTTCTTGAAGACAGTTTTTGTGTGTGTGTGTGTAAAAACACTTGATTTTTATTCCGTACTTTATTACTGAAATATGTTGTCCTACCCATCCCACCCCACAATAAAAATCTCACCCAGGCCCCCCATTTCTTTCCGTCATCCCCTCTTCCACCACACCATCCCAGAACAAGTGCTCCAGGATTCCCTTCCCACTGGCCATTTTGGAATGTGTCCATTGGGCAGCAATGTGGAAACCACCAGGGCCTTTGTGGAGAAAATGGAGGGGGTTGACGGAGTCCCAGGAGGGGCTTATTTGAGGGCCTTGGCCACTTGCTCATAGGCGAGCTCAATTTCCTCATCATCTGGACAGGTGGAGGCGAATTCTTCCCGCACGTAGGCATTGCTCAAGTACCGATGCACTCCCCGGAAGGCCTCAGGGATGGTGAATCCCCCGTATTTCTTACATACCACCTGTACTATGTGTAGCTTTGGCAGCAGGTTGCAATCAGCCAGGGTGAGCTCATTGCCATCCAGAAACTTCCTCTGAGAGATGCCCTCATCTTCAGCACTGGTTTCATCCACTTCTTCTGGGAGGGGGGATGTTAAGTAATTGTCTAAAACCTTCAGGGCTTTCAGGAGTCCCTTCTCCAGATTATCATTGAGTGCTGGGTTTGAATTCTTGATGTAGGCAGAAAATTTGGCAAATATGTCCAGCCCAGCTATGTTGGACTCAGGGTTCAGAGCTGCCAGCTTGGGGTACCTGGGAGGGCATAGCACTGCCTCCAGAAATTCCTCAATCTTGTTGGTGTCTGTGTGCACTTCAGTGCCATACAGCAGGAATGGGAGCTGCCCTCCTGGGCACAGCTTCTGCACTGTCTTGGTCTGCCTCTTGGTGTCAACTGTGGTAACGTTGAAGGTGACTCCCTTGAGCCACAGGACCATGAACAGTCTCTGGGAGAAGGGGCAGTTCCCAATCTTGGCCCTATCACTGCCAGCCTTCACGAGCAATTCGACCGGCGGTTGTTCTTCAGCCATGGTTGCGTCGGGGCTCTTGAAGACAGTTTTATGTCCTATGCTAATATGGAGGAATGGTGCCTCTCAGACTTTAACGGGCACCCGAATCACCAAGGAGGAATGGTGAGATGTAGATTCTGCATCTTTAACAACCCTGTAGGTGATGTGAATGCTGCTGATCCCTGGGCTGCGCTGAGTAGCAAGATGGTGGGAGGTGGCATACGGAAGCCCCAGCTTATGATGGTTTGACTTGTGCAACTGTCAACTTTACGATGGTGCAAAAGCATTCCGTAGAAATATACTTTGAATTTTGATCCTTTCCCAGGCTAGCCATGTGCCGTATGATACCCCTTGGAGATGCTAGGCTAAGTCATCTCATATGAAGCCTATTTTGTAAGAAAGTGTTGACTATCTCATGTAACTTACTGAATACTGTACAAAAGTGTTCTGAGTGCATTTGAGGTAGGAAAGGTTAAGCTGTGATGTTTAGCAGGTTAGATGTACTTTCTTTTTTTTCTGAGACAGGGTCTTGCTCCCATCACCCTGTCTGGAGTGCAGTGGTCCAATTGCAGTTCACTGAAGCCTTGGCCTCCTGGACCCTGGTGATTCTCCCACTTCAGCCTCCCAAGTAGTTGGGACTACAGGTGTGCGCCACCATGCCCAGTTAATTTTTTGTATTTTTAGTAGAGACAGGGTTTTGTCATGTTGCCCAGGCTGGTCTCAAGCAATCCACCCACCTCGGCCTCCCAGAGTGCTGGGATTATAGGTGTGAGCCACCATGCCCACCCCACCCCACCCTTAAAAAAAAAAAAGAGATAGTCTTGCTCTGTTGCCCAGATTGGAGTGCAGTGGCATGATCCTAGCTCACTGCAGCCTTGAACTCCTGGGATCAAGTGATCTTCCCGCCTTAGCCTCCTGAGTCACTGGGACGACAGGGTGTATTGACGTTGTATAGATGATGTCCTGTCTGAAGTCAGGAAGTGTCTGTGTGAGGAAGCACAGTCCTCGCGAGGCGGGCCTTTGTGGTTTCACCAGTCTTACGTTTGCAGACTTTCTGGACTATTTAGAAGTCTGAATGGCCCTTTATGGGGTGGGGGCTCTGATAGCACCCCTTCCCGTCCTGGCCTGGGTCCCTTCCACTTGGTTATGTGCAGGTGGCAAGAGGATCTTTCCCCTTCACTTGCCATTTTGCTTCTTTTCCAGCTTCGCATCTCAGCTCCACCTTGCAGCTGCATGACTGGAAGCTGCTTTTTATTGATGCTGGTGTTGGTGATGTGATTCTAGAGTTACACTCTTAAAGTTTACTCCCTGCTCTGGCTGGCCCTCAGCACTATGCTTACCAAACTGTGCCAACAGACCCAGGGAGGTGACATCAGGCACCTCCATCCCCAACCAAAAAAATCCCCCTTGATTTGAAAGATGTCGTTCACTGCTGAACAGATACCACAATGAATAGGTAACAAAACCACCTGGCTCAAATGCACTTCGTTCTACAGCCTCCGCCCACCCCACTTGCAGCGGGGCAGGGAGGTTCAGGTTCTCAGGAGCCCCGGGAGGCAGCCAGGGATGGGGAGGGCAAGGGGCCGGCCGTTCTGCAGGGAGCGGAAATGTCTGAGCGAGAGATAAAGAACTCAGCAGCCAGAGCATTCAGAGTTTTATTTGCTGTTGGGGAATGAAGGGAACAGGAAGGAATGACAAGGAGGGGGAAGGAAGCTCCTGGCTCCCGTCAGGAAGGCAGGGCATGTGGTACAGGGGTTTGTGTGAAGAGGCCGCCTCAAGCAGAGCCTGCGACAACAGAAACCCTGGCAGGGAAATCTACGATCAGAACAACAACAGAAAGCCAAGGAAAACAAAACGCATTTGCATTTGGTATGGATTTCCTGTTTAAGAGAGGTTTTATTAAGGGGGAAAAAAGGAAAAGTGGTGACTTCTAAGTGTCACTGGGCTAGCCCAGGCTCGGACCCCTGGGGTGGGCACAGTAGGGACTGGGCCACACTCTGTTGCCCATTTCCTCAGGAGGCAGCTGCAGCAACCTCTTTGCTTGTCTGCTTCCTGTCTCTTACCTAACTGCTCACTAGAGGAGTCCCGGGCCCCCAGGCTGGCTCTGGGGAAACTGAGTCAGACAGAACTGGCTAGTGTTATCCCAAGGAGTGTGGCTGGGTAGAGCTTCCCCACAGATATCTGAGTGGGGGAGGACTGGAGAGGCCTCAGGGCAGTCCTGAGAGGGGGCAGGGCTTACCAGGGGCTGAAGGGGCCCTCCCTGGTGGAGGACAAAGGGCAACACCTCGGAGTCGGTCTGCTGTATGGCCTTCTCGCTGCACAGGCTCAGGCTTCCTCCCTGCTGAAGCCCAAGGCTGTGACGTGTCTAGAATGTTCTGTGTCACAGGGGCGCCTCTGGCAGTGACTTCCGTCTCTCACACTCTTCATCTTCCTTTGCCTCCAAAATGCTCATGTTATGGACGTGCAAAAGGTGATCTCCCGATAAAATGCCTTCAATCTCAGCCCCAGCTCCTCCCACATAAATTAAAACCAGCAAAGCTGCCCATTCCACAAATCCGCAGGCCAGGATTGAGTTTAAAATGAAAATGCATCTTTAGAAATGGACTGCTGACTTCATGGGCTCACCTCATAGATGCTAAAAACCAAACGAATCGCCCCAAATCCAAGTAAATTAGCCTGATTTTATGACATAGGAAAGGACTCAGGCTTCTCACCATGTCTGGGCTGGTGGCCTATGTCATCTGCCGGATGTCCCCCTGCCCCCACCCCATCCCCGGAGCTTGGCAGGAAACTCAGGGCAGATGGGCAGTGGGGAGCTCTCTGGGCCATTCCAGGTACCAGAGGTCCTGCTTCTCAGAAAGGCTCTCCTCCTGCAGGCACTGGCCAGATGCTGGGTGGCTCATCAGAATGCAAGGTGACAGACCCCCCTGTGAGGAAGGCCAAGGACATTTTGTAGTTTGGGCAATGGATGCACCTTGAATATTTTCTCGATTTGCTTTATAAACAGCAAGTGCCCCTACGTATCAGCTGATCGTTTACAATCAGCTCAAGAGACCACATTCATCATATCCTCTCCCCCTCTCCCTCCTCCCTCTCCCGCCACCCCCCACCCCCCGCTAAAATCACTGTCTTACAACGGATTCCGGCCAAGGAAATTTGTTAGCAAAATATTTAGGACTAAACTCAGTGAAATCTAAGATTCTGAAGGAGCCAAGTATTCTGTTTTGGCCCTCACCAGCTGCTGCTTGAATTTCTCCATCCTGCAGGACTGTCAAGAATCTGACAGTTCTGCTAACAAAAACTGCAGACACTAGGTTCCATCACCCTCTCTCTGGGCTGGTGTGTGAAGCTCTGAATCTGTGACCTCACTGGAATCAGCGTGTGCAAGGGAATCAGCAATGGAGGGCAAAGGTGACTGGTGAGACACACGTCTACACAAACGCATACAGGTATACAAAAAGCAACAGGAGTTTAATTCTCTTTGTACATGGCCACAGGCTCTCTTCAGTCAGGGGACTTCAGCTGGTACCTCTCTCTTGCAGCTACGAAGCGACAGTGTGGTGACAAGCCTCATACAGACTGTCCCGGTAAGCCAGGACAAGTCACCATTAAGATCCTGCACAAACAGCCCTGGGCACGTGGGAATGGTGAGAGCCACCGCCTCCTTAGCTCAACCACAGCTCCAAACGCAGTCTATCCCAGCTGGCAAACGCCTCAAACACCAATCATGCGTCGTGCTCCTATTCTGGGTTTTTATAAAACACTTTTATATAGAGATATAGATAGCACAGTAAATGTGCTTATGAAGCACTCTAACATAGAGGACAGGAAAACACACTGTGGGGCGCTGCCCCAGCCGTCTCCACAGTGGAGAAAGTGCGAGGGTTAAATACACGTGGCGGGGTGGCAGACGGCAGGAAGTTACAGAGCGCCACGCTCCATGCCCTTCCACGTGACTGACTCATCCCACACTGAGAACTCATCTTCTTTATCCCCTTGGTGGGTAGGAGCAGTAACAGAAACAAAGTCATTTTCTAAGGGTGGACGATGTCAAACTATGGTACCAAGAGAGCGATTCTTATCCAGAAATCATCTAGAAATAATTGCCGAAGTTCAGCCTGGCCCATGGCCCCAGGCTGAGGGCTGCTCTGTAAAGCGTGGGACAGGCTCTGGGGGTCTCGGGCTGATGCAGTATCTCTCAGACACCTGCACATTCACACACCCGCATGCCCCCGGGGAAAGTGCACTTCCAATGGCTGACACAAAAACAGACGGGCACACTCTTCGACACAACGAGGGTATCTTTTAGTTTTCTCCCAGCTTCTGCAGACTCTCTTCCCCCGTTTGCTTAAGCCCTTCACACTCCAAGTTGGAACAGATCTGGAGAAGGCCCTGGACCATGCCTGCAAAGTCTGTGAATGCTGGGGAGAAAGACGGGCTGTGGCAGCTAGGGTTCTCGCTAGTGGATAGCAGGCAGAGCCTCTCTGTTCTCAGCACGTGCCTCCTCTTCCCTCTTGGCTACACCCAAGACTCTCTGGAAAGTTTCTAGTACTGCTTCTCCCCAAACCATGTAGAGAGGAAGAAAAGTCTGGTATTTTGAGTTCTGTTTTTTTTTTTCATTTCCAGTAGCAAGTGTTGCTCCAGTGAGCAGAGAAGAAATGGTCCTTGGCTTTCATTGGGGCTGCTGCTAGGAGCTCTGGACCAGGCGTCTGTAGTGAGGCATGACTTCGTGCTCCGGCAAGTGGAGGGCAAACTCCAAGGCCACCAACACTGGGAATTCAAAGGCAATCAGTTCTCGCCTGTTCAGCCGGAACTTCTCTTCCAGTTTCTGCAACAAAAAGAAAGAAAATCAAAGGCATGTTCGTTTGAAATTAAAATTCTAGCCTTTCCACAACTGCAGCTTCTCTATCCAGCAGCCAGTGAGTGCTTAGGAGAAATCCTCTTTGGGTAAAGCTCTGTGGAGGAAGAAAGGGAGGCCTGGGCTGTGCTTCTTGCCTTTGGTCCTGGTTGTGAAGGAATCGCACCTTTTCTGGGGGCCGCCTGGAACCACACATACATCTTCTGATGCCATTTAATCCTCTCAGTAATATGACATGGTTGATGCTCTGTACCTCTATTTTACAGATGAGAAAATAAGCTCCAAGAAGTCAGAGAAGTTAGCCAGGGTCACATGGGCAGCAAATTGCAGCATTGAGACTCCACGCCAACTGGGACTCAAAACTCTACCTGCGACAACTAAATGATTCAGGTTTAAAGGGAAGACTAAAAAGAAAGCGAACCAGCGGTGGCTCACGCTGTAATCCCAGCACTTGGGGAGACCAAGGTGGGTGGATCCCTTGAGGTCAGGAGTTCCAGACCAGCCTGGGCAATATGGTGAAACCCCATCTCTACTAAAAATACAAAAATTAGCTAGGCGTGGTTGTGGGCGCCTGTAATCCCAGCTCCTTGGGAGGCTGAGGCAGGAGACTCAATTGAACCTGGGAGGTGGAGGTTGCTATGAGCCAAGAGAGTGCCACTAAACTCTAGCCTGTGAAATAAAGCGAGATGATGTCTCAAAAATAAATAAATAAGTAAGTAAATAAAATAAAATTATGCAAACCACCTACAACAATAAAAACCACGTGGTAAGTTCAGAAGGGCGTGCACAGATTCTACGTAGTTCAGTCCTTTCATCTTACGCACAAGGGTCTAAGTCCTCGGGAAGTCCCCCACTTTCACAGTGCCACACAGCTGGTGTGTATCTTCAACAGGGCTGAGCCTGGTGGCATCTTGCATATCCACCCAACTGGAGGGGCTGTTGGCGCTGGAAAAGGAGAACCACCAAGGTGGGGATGGGCAGGAAGGGCTTCATGTTTGCTCAGGCATATTCTGCCTTGGCGCAAACCCAGCTTTTATCTTCATAAAACAAATCCCACCCACAGAGCAGATGTTGACCGCTTTCAGATTATAACTGGGATGAGATCTTGAGTTAGGTTTCTTGCTACTGTAAGTGGCTGGTCAAACCCTTACTGTTACATTCTGCATCAATAGTATCAGCTTTTGCTGTGTGGTATACTGCTCAACTATGATTAAATGTGCACATGATTTATAATTTTATAAGTGTTTGTTACATCTAAAGATTCATTAGTTCTTGGTCGGGTATGGTGGCTCATGCCTATAATCCCAGCACTTTGGGAGGTTGAGGTGAAAGGGTATCTTAAGGCTAGCAGTTTGAGCTTAGCTTGGGCAACACAGTGAAACCTGGTCTCTACAAAAATAAAAAAGTTAGCCAGACACAGGGGTGCATGCCTGTAGTTCCAGCTACTTAGGAGGCAGAGGAGGGAGGACTACTTGAGCCTGGGGGGTAGAGGCTGCAGTGAGCTATGATCGTGCCACTGAACTCCAGCCTGGGTGACAGAGTTAGACCTTTTCTTAAAAAAAAAAATTATTAGTTCAGCAGCTATCTATATACACCTATTGATTCTCAGCTCAGAGTTGGTGTCCAATGGTCATTTCTAGGTTCATGTATTTACTGTATAAGCTAGATGATTTTGTACCATTTCTTAAAATCTGTTAAGCACTGATCTAAAGACTATTCTTTTTAATTGGGGAGTACCTACCTTAGTGCCCTTTCTGCTTTTTTGCCTTTGCCACTGAAGATGGCTAGACAGTGAGGCATATGGGGCATTGAATTAACCGTATCTTTTATCCTCTGTATTCTGATGCTTTGCTATCTGGGGCCTGGCTGACTGTAGAGGGTCTGCCCTTCCCAGGGTTAGCCAAATTCTCCAGTGATCCCTTTTGCTTTTCAGATGCAAACCAACCAATCCAGAGGCCACATTCCTACCATTTCCTCCATGGGCCTCACACTCAGGCCACTATCCACCTGCTCTTATCACCCCAGAGCCAGGCACCAGACAACTAGGGACAGCCCCTAGGCCCCAGAGTTCACCAAAACTATTCAAACTAGCCAATCCCAAACCCACAAACCCTGCCTTATCCATTCCTTTCTGTGAAAACCACCATCAAGGCTCCCTCTGCCTCCTGACCCATTCCAGGGCTTCCAGACACAGCCCCCACAGCACAGCATGCCTCTTGTTATGGGCTGACTGCTGTGTCCCCCCAAATTCATATGTAGATGCCCCAATCCTCCATGTGATGGTACTAGGTGGTGGGGGCTTTGGGAGTGATTGGATCTAGATGAGGTCCTGGGCATGGGGTGAAGGGATTCGGAACCTCAGAAGAAGAAACCAGAGGGCTTGCTTTTTGTCTCTCTCTCTCTCTGCAATTAAGCATCAGCAAGAAGATGCCTGTGAGCAAGGAGAGGAAACTCACCAGGACCGAAGCAACTGGTCCCTTGATCTTGGACTTCCTAGCCTCCAAAACTATGAGAAATAAATTTGTCATTTCAGCCACCCAGCCTATGATATTTTGTTATGGCAGCACCAGCCAAGTTACTCCTTCTCTTGTGAACTGTAACAAACTATCTTCTCAATCTGTCTTCTGATCACCTGGCTTTACTGTATGTCAAATTTTCTATTAATATATTGAATTCTAAAACAGGCATTCATGTAGCCTCCAAAGAGATCCATGTTTCCTTGCTTTGGGAGGGCTCTCCTTTAAAAGAAAAGAGATACCACCCTGTCAAACTCAATGCCTTTCCCCAAAGAGGAGGCAGCCTAGGAAGGAGGAAGCCAAGGTCTTACTGAACCAACCTGTTTGACAGTAGAAGCTCTGTGGGTCACACTGCCTGTGTGGGAATCTCTTGCAGGTACAGTGACTGCTACGGCTGTGGGAATGACTGCATGTTGCACAGTGTCTGAGAACGGATTTTAAGGGCCAGACCCAGTGGCCAGTGCTGAGGATCTTTGGTCTTGTCAAAGTAGATCATCACTATGTTCTAAGATAGCCTGACTATTCACACTATGGGAAAGGCTTCATAGCCTTCACTTTTTTTTTTTTTTAGACAGAGTCTTGCTCTTGTTGCTCAGGCTGGAGTGCAATGGTGTGATCTTGGCTCACTGCAACCTCCACCTCCCAGGTTTAAATGATTCTCCTGCCTCAGCCTCCTGAGTAAGTGGGATTACAGGCACGCACCACCATGCCCAGCTAATTTTTTGTAATTTTAGAGACGGGGCCTCACTATGTTGGCCAGGCTGGTATCGAACTCCTGACCTCAGGCGATCCACCCACCTCGGCCTCCCAAAGTGCTGGGATTACAGGCGTGAGCCACTGCGCCAGGCCCACAGCCTTCACTTCAATTGCTCACTAAGGCTCAGAATCCTTCCAGTCAGGGTCACTGACCGAAACCTTCTGAGGGAAGAATCCCAGACTGGAGCATGCGCTCTTCCAGCCTCCAGGATGAAGGCCACTTACGTCAATTAAATGCTTGACTTCTTGTTTTTTGAGGTCACTTCCAATTTTGGCTGCTAACAGCACACATGCTCCAGCACACAGCTTCCGGTTCTGTTTGTTGAGCTTTCCCTTGAGGGCGAGCTTTTCAAAGTAGACGAAGGCCATGGCCACCGTGGGCTCCTCGAGGCCACAGTCCTCCTGCGCAAGCTTCCGCATCTCTCGTTTCAGGCTGGGGAAAGACAGCAGGAGGGAACAGTCTCATGAAAACTTAAGTATCAGCAGACCCCAAAGAAACAGGCTACTCCATCTTGAAAGCTTTTTCTCTTTCTCACTCCCAGAGGGTGACCTGGACTGGGATTAAGTCCCTGGGAGTGTGAAGGCTGCATTATGCATGGGAGCAGACTTCCAGAGCTGGGCTTTACACTCTTCTCTGTTGGTCAGGTTGTACAGAACACGTTTATTTTTATTTACTTATTTATTTTTGAGATGGAGTTTTGCTCTTGTTGTCCAGGTTGGAGTGCAATGGCGTGATCTCAGCTCACTGCAACCTCCACCTCCTGGGTTCAACTGATTCTCTTGCCTCAGCCTCCTGAGTAGCTGGGGTTACAGGCATGAGCCACCATGCCCGGCTAATTTTTGTATGTTTAGTAGAGATGGGGTTTCACCATGTTGGCCAGGCTGGTCTCAAACCCCTGACCTCAGGTGATCCACCCACGTCAGCCTCCCAAAGTGCTGAGATTACAGGCATGAGCCTCCATGCCCGGCCCCATGTTTACTTTTAGTCTTGCTCCAGACCCAGCAGTTATATGCTGCCACCATCACTACTTCCAGGCTGACAACACTGGTGCAGCAGACCAGGTGGGGAGAGTGACAGGCCAGGGCTCTAACGACCACCACATGGGACACACAGGAACCCACTGACCACAAGGGGATGTCCAAGAGTCTCTCTAGAAACCTAGAGTAGAGCTGTCCAGTGTTAAAGAGGCACAATATCTTGGAGAGCCGATTACAGACATAAATTAGGTACTTGGTCTAAACTCTGCCAAATACCTGCTATGTTCATTAGCCAGAGCAGAAAAACAGGCTAAGAGCATAATAATCCATGTCCTTAGAGAGGCTCCCTGGCAAATGGGACAGATGTGAATATTTCATTATTCTCAATTTTAAAAAATTCTTTCGCTTGGAACATGCCAGAGTCAAATCAGGATTAGGATACACACTCATGTAAATGTTGGCACATATTCCAACACCATGTTGATGTGCAGTGTAGCTTCCATTACTACACACACACATACACGCATGCACACACACACACGCCCCTAGGCTTTCACCAGCATGAGCATGGCATACAGACACCACAACACAAGCCCAGTAGGGCCAGTTGTCTTGACTATGTAGCCGGGAGATGTAGGTCACCACAAAGTCAATTGTAGCAGAGCGGCAGGGGAGATGCTTCCTGACTCTGCTCTGCCTGCTTTGGTGATGGCTTAAAGATAGGATTTGGCTGTCACCTCTGGACGCATGACTGTGGGTAGACTTATCTCATCCCCTATAGTGCCAACTATTTCCCTTCAGCTTTGCCTACACTTCAGAAAGCACAGACCTGAATGCTGCCCATTGTCTCTGAGTTTTCCATAACATAAATCTGATTAACAATGAGCTACAGAGAACATGACATAATTCTTTCACCGAAGGAACCTCCCCTCATCCGCATCAACCAGGAGTCAAGAGCTGTGCCTCGTGTCCTGCTGTCCTCGTCTCTCCTACCATACCACGGCACCAGAGAGCCAGCATCCAAGAGTCTCCTTTTGCTAAATGTGACAGTGACTCTATCACTGGAACCACGGCAAGGACCACTGGACAGATGACGAGCTTACTGTGTGTGGGAAGGGGTTTGGAGGGAAAGGGCGAGGGCAAGTTGAGCTTCCATACCTCCTAATTTTGCTGAGTGTCAGCTTAATGTGAGGAAACTTCTCCTTGAAGGTCTCGTTCATGTCCTTTTTGAGATCAGAGGGCTTCACATAGTCAATCACTGTTGTCTGTAACAGACAGGAGAACACGGGTCACTTCTTAAAATAACGGTCATATGTAATCATTATGCGCTACTACAACCAGCTTACCACTCCCAAAGCCATGGGCAATGGGAAAACTTAGACTGGAGCTGCAACAAGGGCTCGGCGGAATCTGGGAGCCTGAAGGGGGCCGTGGCTTTCTGGAGGTGAGCGGAAAACAGGTCACGACTATTAGGAGGAGGTGACACTTAGGAATGCCGGCCTGGAGACCATCAGAAGTCAGGGCCTCTGCCAGTTCCCATATGTCGGCCTGTTCACATGGTACAGGGTTTAAGCGCATGGGGCTTGGAGGGGCACAGACCTGGGTTCAATCCATACTTGACCATTCACCAGTCCAGCAGCTTTGGGAGACTTAATCACCCCAAATCTCAACTCCCATGTCTGTAAACAAAAAACGGTAGCAGTGCCTACTTCACACAGCTTTCTGAGAACTATAGAAGTGCCCTGTATGATGCCTGGCATATAGCAAGTGCTCAATAAATGTTAGCTACTGTTCTTTTAAATTAGTTTTTTAAATGGTAGTAAAACATACATCACATACAATTTACCGTCTTAACTGTTCAGTGACATTAAGAACATTCACATTATTGTGCAGCCCTCACCATCATCCATCCACAGAATCTTTCCACCACCATCCATCCACGGGATCTTTCCACCACCATCCATCCACGGGATCTTTCCACCACCATCCATCCACGGGATCTTTCCACCACCATCCATCCACGGGATCTTTTCATCTTCCCAATGAAACTCTCTGCCCATCAAACGCCAACTCCTCATCCACTCCTTCTAGCTTCTGGCAACCACCACTCTACTTTTTGTCTCTATAAATTTGCCTTATGTACGTTGAATCGTCTATTTGTCCTTTTGTCATAGGCTTATTTTATTTAGCATGGAATCTTTTTTTTTTCTTTTTTTTGAGATGGAGTCTTGCTCTGTGGCCCAGTCTGGAGTAAGGTGGTACAATCTTGGCTTGCTGCAACTTGCTCCACCTCCTGGGTTCAAGCAATTCTCCTGCCTCAGCCTCCTGAGTAGCTGGGATTACAGACATCCACCATCATGCCCGGCTAATTTTTATATTTTTAGTAGAGACGGGGTTTCACCATGTTGGCCAGGGTGGTCTCGAACTCTTGACCTGCCCGCCTAAGCCTCCCAAAGTTCTCAGATTACAGGTGTGAGCCACCGTGCCCGGCCTAGCATGGAGTCTTCAAGGTTAAATTTCACTGTAGCACGTGTCAGAATTTCCTTTAAGGTTGGACACCATTCCACCGAATGTATATAATGGTAGCTAGCAACAGTCTTTGGAAATCTGTGTTTCCTCCTCCCCTCCCTATTTCTAGATTTGATAAATCCTAAGGTTGCGGCCGGGTGTGGTGGCTCACACCTGTAATCCTAGCACTTTGGGAGGCTGAGGTGGGCAAATCACGAGGTCAGGAGATCAAGACCATCCTGGCCAACATGGTGAAACCCCATCTCTACTAAAACTACAAAAATCAGTCAGGCATGGTGGTGTGTGTCTATAGTCCCAGCTACTAAGGAGGCTGAGGCAGGAGAATCGCTTGAACCTGGGAGGCAGAGGTTGCAGTGAGCTGAGATGGCACCACTGCACTCCAGCCTGGCAACAGAGTGAGAGACTGTCTCAAAAAAAAAAAAAAAAATTCAAAGGCTCCTCGGATTCCTTTCCGAACACCCTGGTCTTCCTTGCTCCTCTGTGCCCTGCACTGCGAACTCTGAATTAAACAGTTTTTTTCTGGGTTTCCCAGTTTGTCTCATCCCTCCTCCAGAGTATGTTTGCCAAGGCTGGGTCTCTTTTAGCTGACTACATGCCATAATCTTTTTTTTTTTTTTGAGACGGAGTCTTGTTCTGTTGCCGAGGCTGGAATGCAGTGGTGCAATCTCAGCTCACTGAAACCTCCACCTCCAAGATTCAAGTGATTCTCCTGCCTTAGCCTCCTGAGCAGCTGGGACTACAGACATGTACCACCACTCCCAGCTAATTTTTTTTTTTTTTTTTAATGTAGCTGACCAGCCTACCAGGTCTTTTATGCAGTTCAACATACGCAGTGACACCAAGGTAAGACCAATGAAGTTCCAGTTTGGGTGCCTCCATCTCCCTCCCCTGGATCCTGATCCAGTGACTGTCAAAGCCAGAAAGAACTGGGCTAGGGTGCTTGATCATGGGGAAGGCTGTTGTGGTTCGCCCGGCAGATGGGAAAGGGGGAAGGTTTCACTTCTTCACAATTTGAATGACATCCTCGTCCTCCCACGTATGGTCTTTACCCACTTTCTGAGGATTGTGTTTCACAGAGAGACCCCAGGCCAGAGCATATTTAAATTATTTGATAAGATTTTTGTGAATCTTCATGCAGAAATCCTCCACTGTGGTCCTGGAATAAGAAGCACCATTGGGATGTGTAATCTGGTAACTGGCCTTTGGGTGTGGTGTAAATTCTCACTAGTTTCAGATAGTCCCAGATCTTTTCCAATAAGTCATCAAAATTCCAACGGTGATGGGCAGAGATGGGTACACAGTGAGGCACCTTATAGATGATATCTAATTCGTCAATGGAGATTTGGTCAATCTTATTTAGCACATAGATACAGGGGATATAAACTCTGTTTCCTTCACCACATCAATGAGGTCATCAGCTGTAGAGTCACATTGGCATTATGAACCTTGTATTCGGCCAGAATGCTTTTCACAGTTTCAGCATCCAGCTCACTCTGGGGGCAGGTGGCTGTGAGGTTAATGCCTCCCTTGTCCTTCTTCTTAAAGCCAATGTTGACGGGTTTGCTGTTCGAGCGAATGCCAAAGCCTTCCAGTTCATTTTCAATTATCTTCTTATGTCCCAAGGGTTTCAGGACACCCAAAACAATCAGGATGAAGTTACAGGTTCAGGCCACTGCAATGACTTGATGACCTGTACCCTTCCCATCCTTGGCACCTTCAATGATACCTGGGAGATCCAGGAGCTGGATCTTGGCACCTTTGTATCTGACGACACCAGGCACGGTGGTCAGAGTAGCGAATTCATAGGCGGCTACCTCAGAATACACCCCTGCCAGGTTACTAAGCAGTGTTGACTTTCCCACAGATGGAAAACCAACAAATCCAATTCGAGCATCACCTGTCTTGGCCACATCAAAACCTTCTCCTGGACCTCCACCACCACCACCCTTTGGAGTAATGAGTTCTCGATGAAGCTTAGCAAGACGAGCCTTAAGCAGCCCTAGGTGGTGTGCTGTGGCCTTGTTGAGTCTGAGCCATCTCAGCTTCTATCTCCGCGATCTTAGCTAAGGTGCTGCTCATCCTGGCGAGTCCCCTGTGGCCTCCACACTGACTGTCTCTCTTCATACACCTGCGGGCAAACTGCCACCAGCACCAGGCACTACTCTAATTTTTGTATTTTTAGTAGAGACAGAGTTTCACCATGTTAGCCAGGCTGGTCTCAAACTTCTGACCTCAGGTTATCCACCCACCTCCGCCTCCCAAAGTGCTGGGATTACAGGCGTGAGTCACTGCGCCCCGCATACATGCCGTAATCTTAATCAGCCAAAGCCCAGAAAAGAAGAAACAACAGATTTTGATGTGAAGGTCGATTCCCTGGATGACTCACACCTGCAAAGCCCGTCAAAGGCTTCCTTAACAGCTCTAACAGAAGTTGGTGGCTTTCTCTGAACACCTCCATTTATAGGACACAGGATTTTACTGCGGACGTGTGGAATGCCTTTGGTGTCAGTTAGTAGCAAGGAGCAGGCAAGCAGCCAGCACATCCCAATTCAAAGTGATCTTTATAGTCCTGTCTTTGCTTCTCTGGTGAGTAACGGCAAAGCACAGCAATATTAACTCCAACAATCCCACCAGATTTGTTCAGAGTTTTCCAGCATTTGGCTGGAAGAGGACTTGGTGCATGCAATGCCACGTCTTCTTTCTCTGATACATACTCTTTCTGGCCCAATCAGGAAGGTCTCCTGACCTGGTCCAGATGTGCCCATTCTGATCCCAGCTAACTACGTGCTCTGCAACGAGCAGGGAAGGGGCAGCCTAGCTGTACGATGCCACAGTATTTGGACACATGCATGGTGTTTGGACATTGTTCTCAAAGTCAAGGTCAAGCAGAGTGGGCCCCTGTGGCAGCCCTCCAAGGCAGGATTGTTTCCCTTCTACTTTTAAGAACGGCTCTATTTCATCTCCAACAAATATATCCTCTGGGTTGAAGGGGATGTAAGATTTCATTTTGGAAACCGGCAGTAGAATGGGGGACCATATCTAACAGGCTCACCTCAAGCTTGGAGGGCCCAGCAGCCGACCCTGCTGTTTCCTAAGTAACCAGCACCTTCCTCCTGCTTCTTAACCCCTCACCCCCCATCCAGGAACGCTGAACTCTCAGAGACAGGCCCCTCCTACTCATCCTCTACAGAGGAAAGTTAGGAGGTTTGCCATGGTGTGAGCAGGCTCAGGCACCTGCCTTTGTTGGGGGCCTGGAGCCCTGTGAGCGCCGCCAAGGATATCCTGCTGCTTATCGATCATGTGGATTTTTAGGCTGGGTTCTGTTGAAGACCAGTGGGAGAGGACTGGATCCCCCTCGCAGCAACCACAGCAGCTCTGCTTTGCTCTGCCTTATTTGTAGATACATGCGACCCTTCCCTTGAAAGAGAGCTCTCACTGCTTAAAAGGATGTATGCAAATGTGTCCCACCTCTGTTTGCAACAGAGGCTCAGAAAAGTGAAAAGGCTCACCCCAGACCTGAGCGAACCACAGGCAGGCCCAGTGCGGGCATCCCGGTCTCCAAGAGCAGCTGCTTCCGGCTGGCACCCCAGGCACTGCCTTCCTGTTTTTCTTTCCTTGATGGTACTGAATAAGCAGCACAGAGCGGCTCCCTACCCAAGGGCTCTAACCAGGATGTCCGAGAAGACAGCTGGCAGTGGTAAGAGCTGGGGCAGGGTGAGGGGGCAGGTCAGGTCAA